AGGCCGAACCTCAACATTACTGAAGCAGTGTGGAATCATCTGTCAGGGAACAGATGAAAAGGCTGAAAAATTACAAAGGAGAGCTTTGGGATGTCCTTCAAGATGCCTGTGGAACTATTCCTTAAGGCCACTTGACTGACGAGAAAGCCTGTATAAGAGCGTGTGGGCTGTGCTGAAGAGAAAAATGCTTACAATAAATACTAACTTTCAAGCTCAGAATCATTCAAACACTTCTTTTGCATTTTGTGCTGTATTTTGTTTTTGCCTGCTCATACTTCAGTAAAGTGCTGGACCTTGATGAGGGATGGCTCAAGACTTTTGTAGTTTAGCAAGCCTTCTTGGGGTTTCTAATTATTTGTCGTTGAACGATAAAGGCGGGATGTTAAATGCTAGTTTAATGTGATCACTTTTCAGTTCAGATCAAATTTCAGAGTAGAATTACTAGAATTGGAGGGCTAATTTAGACCAGGACGCAATGTTACAGGACGCAAAAGTGAAATCTTTTGAACAATATCACCCTGTTTCACTCTCATAAGCAATTAACTCGGAGTCGAAAAGGTGAAAAGCAGCCACGGCTTCCTCTCAGGGTTTTTCTAATTAGGGCCATGCATTTATTATTTTGTGCTGAGCTCCCACTTCAAATAGCTACTGGCAAGTTTAAACAGCACATCACAATTATTTATTGAGGAATTACTGTCAGTGCATGCTGGCCAAACAAATATAGACAGCAATACTCATGGTAAACAGAATACAAAAACTCAGGGCGTGACCACTGGGGAAATCACATATTTTTTGTAAACAGTCTGACAATATTGAAGAGTGTAGGTGTAAAAGAGAAACCTGAATGCCCTGGTAAAATAACAGAAAAAAAACATATATGAAGGCATAGAAAAAGAAAAGCTTTGAATAGACTCCCGAGGCATGCACACTTTTTTCGAGGAATCTAATTCACTCACATCAAGTTTTATTAGAAATGTGTGCCATCACATGATCCACATGCTGTTCCAGAGGCCTGACCACAGTGGCAGGACAACAGTCCAAGGTAAACACGGCTGAAGAGGAAAAAAGCAGCAGGTTTGGTTTCAGGGTACGAGGTTGTGCTTCTCAGGGAATAACCGCACCATTCTATTTAGAACTGATCTCAGGAGTGGTGGTTAAACAGGGAGCGTCCCTATGGTTATGTGTGTGCACGTCTGTGTATATACAATGTGTGCGTGACTGTGTGTGTGTGTGTGTTTGAAAGCGTGCAGCTGCATTTAACCAGCACATGTGTTGGGGGATGAGGCAGATGTTGCAGAGGCAAGGATTAGAGTTTGCATGTGTGTGTGTGTGTGTGTGTGTGTGTGTGTGTTTCTTTAAGCGTGTGTGTTAAAAATATCTTTGCCACAGCGGGAAGCCTCAGCGGCCAATTACAGTGCAGCATCTGGGCTCACACACATTTATTAGTGTGTGTGCATACATGCAGAGAGGTTCAGGCTGAGTTCAGGTTATTCACATCTTTGCATGGAGAGTTTCAGTAAATGGTTCAGGGTGTGTTTAACAATGATGAGGCTTTGTGTCACAGCAGCAGAAGCTAAACACGTCACCAGGACAAGACTGGGGGGAATTAGAGGGAAGGAAAGATGTGTAAATAGGAAAAAGCAGTGAAGACAATGATGAGAATGAAAAAGATGTGAAAGGGGGGAGAGCAGAGGAGATGCATTTTCAGAAAAGACACAAAAAATACATTGCTCACTTCTGTTTTTACTCGAAATGCTGCAACAAATTCTGAACATTTTTAGTTTATTGCGTAATGCTTATTGGAGCTTGTGAGAAGCTCATTTAATTAATCTAACTTCTAATGAAATTACTCTGAGATTGTTATTGTGATTCATTTGACATCCTGGTTCACCTTCATTCATTTTAAATGAAGTCAGTAAATAGCTAATGTGAAACTAATTCTAATTCTCTAAATTTCTCACAAGCCTTTGATTTCATAGTGGTCTAAAAAGTTGAAATCTATTTCTTTTGGGGTGCTGTTTTAAGTCCTCACAGGATAGCAACTCAAATAGATGACTGACAATGATACAAGCTAGATTTTTTTTCTCCTAAACATTTGTGAATGATGAAAATCTGAAGTCAGGCCAGAACAGCAAGAATGAACGTGCAGTCGTCAACAAAGCCACCAAAAAAGCAAGGAAATAAGCGTTAATCACCCGTTTGCCTCTCAGCCTTCATGGTATTTCAGGGAATTAAATGCGACATCCAGTTTTAATTGGATGTCGGAGATAACTGACAGAGATTTGTTTTAATCACTTTATAGAATCTAAGACACAGGGTACTTTGGGAGGTAGAAGGTTATTTATGAGCAGGAATAACCTGCTCCTTTCCCATTAATTATGATCACCAGCCAATAATACCACTCTTTCTATAAGATATTCAATGACTCAATCCAGCCAACAATACCTGCATGTATTGGTTTCTCTGGTATAACAAAGTCTTTTTTCCTTCAACCCACAGGGTTGTGTATGAAAAAGAGATATTTTTCCCTCTTGCACATTATACTAATGAAATGGTTAAGGGGTTTAGGTGTTTTGCAGCATTTAACCACCTTAAACAGAAGAAAAAAAATCCTGATTATGTGTCTGTAGTTCCATTTTATAACAAAGGATATATCTAAGCCTTGGAAAGAATAACAATAAAACATCTCTAAATCATGGCTTTGTCCACTTTAATTTGAGGACTCTGAGTGAGCTGATTGAAGGTCTACACATTCATTACCAATACTACCACCAGGTACTACGGTACTACTTGCACACCTTATGTACGTTTCTAACCCTAGATCACACATTTGTTTAAGACAAATACAATGCAGACAGACGTAATATAATAATAAAACCAATTGCAAAAGCTTGTGAACATGTACACCACAATATTTGACGTAGCACGCCTGTTAGGAAATGATTGAGAATGCTTACAATCAATAAATTAAACAGGAATTGCATTTCCTTTTTTAAAGTAACAGACTGATTGTGAAATTATCCCTGTCCTGCTGTGATAAGTAGCTTTCATTCTCAAAGAAAGGCTAATGCTTGCTGCCGCCACCTGCTCTGCTGTACATTTTATACAGATATGCTTAAGTTGGTCATTAGCTCTGTCAATGTGTTGGTTCCACGTAGTCACTGTTTTGTGCGAGACAGACTAAAAAAAGCTGGCAGAAAACCTCTTTATTACCAGAGAGAGAGACAAAGTAAAGGAGAGTATAGATTGCTGCAGTGGATATATTGCTGTTGGGAGCAGAATGTGCCCAGTAGGGCAGAATTAGCCTATCAAGAAGAATAGGATAAAGCATGTAAAATATCTAGTCAGATAGTGCATGGTACAGGATATTGAATGCAGCAGAACACCAGAAAGCATCTTAATGTGAAGGTTATTGGTCTATCTGTCTGAATGTGGGGAAGAGGAGGCTGGGGAATCACTCTGGCTTGATTTTAATCAAAAATCTATTTTATTTCAAGTTACCGTTAGCTTATTAGAGTCGCCTGGTGGTACTGTTCACTTCTGTCCAATCACAGTAAAACTTCAAATGCCTACAGGGGAAGCTGCCGCCAGAGTACAAAAACAGACACCTCCATTAATCACTATATGCTTTTGTCTGCAGTTACTCCCTCATCTAACCTGAACTGCGGTAAAGCCTCAGTCAGTGCAGCCATGCATGCTTATATGTTCTAATTTCAATGGTCTCAGCAGCATAAGACGTGCAGTTCTCAAGACAGGCCTAACACACACACACACACACAATTCCCTTGATAGAAATCATTCAAGAAAGAAATCGTGTTTGTTTGTGTATAAAATAATGTTTAAAAAATAGATGCAAATGAGGTGAAAACAGCTATTTACAGACCCACTATGCAGACAATTAAGCAGCTCAATGAGTCCTCATGGCATCGACCTGGTGCCTTTTGTCCTGTGGTCTGCTGTTTCCTCTGAGGTGAGGTTTATTTGTCCATGTGTAAATACTGCCCCCTGCGGTCAGAGCCTTTTAATGCTTCCCCTACTGCACTGCAGGTAGAAGCCTTCTTCCACTAGAAACCTAATTTCCTTGAAGCTCCTTGAATGTCTCCATAAAACAGACTGATATACACAGTTTGTGAGACAAGAAGGCTTTCTTTTTTTTAAAACTGATCTGCTGTAGACAAACATTTCCTCTCTGACACTTTAACTTTTGTGTACCTATTACTGTTTGAACTGTGGAGTAAATCTGGCATAATAAGACATCTCAACCAGTTAAGAGTCAGTTTTTTTCTATTAGAATATTTTTATAGTGTTGTACCCATAATGTCAAAGCTGAGTTCATCTGGCTTCTATTTATTAACCTAAAAAAGTAATAGGAAAAAAACAACAATATGTTTTTATTCTAATTTGTGGATTAAGGAAAAAAAAAAAAAAATCTCATCTTGGTGACATCCTTTGTTAAATTGGCTGAATCGTTAATGTCTTAATTTGAAAAGTTGTATTAATTATTTGGATTCAAAGTGTTTATGAATGCAGCACATAAACACATGACTTATTGCAGGCCTTCAGTATATGCAGGCCATCTTTTTCACGCCTGTCCCAGTCATGGTCACCAGCAGAGCTGTGGTTTACGGTGCACACCGTTAACCACAGCTCTGCCAGATGATCCTCATCTTGTCAACACCTCTCAAGGGCAATCTTCTTTTTGTTTTCTTTTTTTGTCTATTTATTGTCACCTTTGGATACCGTATTTCATCCGAGATATCATTTTATTTGTTTTGCTTGACATAAACCGTTTATTAGTATTTTCTATCAATGAAAACCTTACACACAAATGATTTTTTTATTGTAAAAAGTGGTCACTCAAATGTTTTTTTATGGTATTGTTTCACTGACGGGTGTCCTTCTTGGATTCCGGGACAGGAACCCGACTTCCTTTGCAGCAGCGACAACCTCAGGGAAAGCACACGGGCTCTCTGTGTCAGTGGATCATGGAGAGAGCAGCTATGGGGAGTCCCTCTTTGCCACCATACAACCCCTCAACCTCCACCTTGGCCTTTGACCAGCATTTCACTACGACCGTCAGAGGAATGCTACTACTGGCTGAGATAGTAAGTGTCATTTCAGAGTTTAAATGCTTAAAGACTTTATGATTGTGATGTTATCTGATCCTGACATAAAGCTGTGGCTAGAGAAAGTTACATTTAGAACAAACAGATTGAAATATTTTTTGTTAAAGGGAGATTGAATAAACAGTAATCTTTAAAAGTGGTCAGTCACTGGTCACCAATAGATCAGACTGAGCTCGTTCCACTTCACATAAAGTCATGTGGTGGCAGAGAGACATTTATTTTGTTTGGAAACAACATCCACACTCCCCCCCAAAAAAACAACCAACAAAAAAGAACACAAATAAATTTTACCCGAAAAGGTATAACTTTAAAAAAAAAAGGGGAAAAAAAGAGGGAGTTGGACTTTTAGCATCACACTGTTTGAACAAAGTTAAAGAAACATGATAAGCTATGTTTCTATGAAAATAGGAAGTTAACCAAAAAACACCAAGTAAATCAACTCTTCCTCTTCTCTCTCCCTCATTGTCTCTCTTCCTTTTCAAATCAGCAGAAGGAAAAAAGTCTGGACAGCCTTTCTCTAAATACAGCCTGGCTGGCTGCCATGCACGGAATGGGCAGGCCACATTTGGTCCAAATGCCTTCAAACAGCCCTTATTTATAACAATTTTACAAAACCTATTTTAATCTGGAAAGCCAAGAAAAATGGCACTATGTTTTGAGATAAACAAAAAGTTTACAGCTTGAAGTCACTGAAAGATGATCAATATAATGAACATTGCAGCGGGAAATTAATATGACTCAACCATATGACCATACCGTAAAGTAATTTTACAAATGTTCTTGAACATTTTACTCATTTGAGAGGTTGTTTAACTAAATCTAATCTAGATCTGATCACGCTCCAATGCAGAACAAAAGTTTTCTTCCTGTGATATAAAACACAAGGAATCTTTTGTGGTGGAAAGGGAAGGGTGGGGTTCAGAAATGTTTTATTTAGTAACATTTACGACAATGGCATGATTCAGTGAATGTGGTGCGTGTTTTACATTAGGAATGTGGTTATTACTCATAGATTAGGACTAAACACACTGGATAAATGAATGGCATGAAAGAATAAGTTGTGTCACTTTTCCTCCACAGGTGTGTGGTATGCTGGTGTGGATTCTTGTTGGGGGTACAGAGTATTTTCATCTGTCTGCTCTCTGCTGGGTGATGTTTTTTTCAGTCTCACTCTGGATTTTGACCATATGCCTGTTCATAATTCACCTCATTGGAGCCCACTACAGGATAACATGCATACCCTGGCCTAAACTGGTAACACGCACACACTCATTGGTGTGTCTCAACAAAGTTACAACTGTTTGGTCTACAGCTTCACATGTAATTCGCTGTGTGTTTTGCTGTGTTTCAGCTGCTGTGTTTTTACTGCAGTGCTGCTGCTCTGTATCTGGTGACAGCAGTGGTGGAGGCTGTCACCGTTAACCAGGCCACTAGAGGACGACACAACTACAACTGTTGGGCCGCATCAACGGTAAGCAAAAACTAGATCAGAACATCTCTCAGAAATCTCCTCAATTTGGGATTCTCATAAAACAGACCCCAAGCATGCTCATCGGATGATTTTTTAACAAAATAGAAGGACAGGTCAGTTTTCGTAAAAGTAACCTCATAAATCTTTTTGTTCTCATAGTCTAATCAGTAAACTGGACTTTGTATTGCCACAAACACTTAGAGTCCTTTGTGTTACCCCTGTCTGTGACTGAAAACATTCTACAAGTATCTGCCTAGTACTGCTCACAGAACTGCAAAGAAACTGGGCTTATTGAATATCAACAATGGCCACAAATCTATTGAGAACACATCAGCTTTATGTAAGTGTCAAATATGACATTTCAAAAACACTTTTGCTTTGTATTAGTAAATGTGGCTGGCTGTTTTTCAGTCAGGATGATCTGCAGCTCTAGCTAATAAAATCTAACATGTTTGTTTTTCTCTCTTTTTCTCTCCCATTTTTTCCTTCTCTTGTTTTTTTTATGTATTTGTCTGATGTATTTTCTTCTCTCAGTTTTTTGCGTGTCTGACCACAGTGTGCTATGTGGGGAGCAGTTACTTGAGCTACTGTGTCTGGAAAACCAAAGAAGAGGAGCAGTAGCGTCTTTGGCTCTGGAGCTGTTACGTCAGCATTCAGGCCTCCGTGTGCGTCATCAGGAGATAGAAGGGCAACCAACACTGTCCATGCTGTTACTTAAGAGTGATTAAGCTGAGTCTGCTGATAATTATAATCAATTAAAAAAAAAGGATTTGAACAACTACTTGTTTTCAACAAAGAAGAAGAGTTTCCCGATGTGTACTCCTTCATACCCACTGTTGAGGAAAAAAGAGTTTCAAGAAATCTGGCAACTTGAAAAAGGATTTTTCATTTAGATCATATTTATTCACCACAACCTGAACCATTTTAAACAAGTTCTCCTGTAATGTTTTTTTTATTTTTTTATGTTGTACTTCCTTTTGTTCCACTCTCTTTCCAGATGTTTCTACACTGCTTTAGTCCAGGCTCTGTTTTTAACTACTATTGTAGCTATCCCAAATATTTCAGTTTACTATTACATTTTTTAATCATTAGTCAGTATTATAGCTTTTCATGATTCACTTGTGCTTTTATTGTTGCTCTTTTCCATATAGACCACATCCCCATCACAGCTGGTGGACTCTGGACAGGTCACCAGTCCATCACAGGGCCACACACAGACAAACAACCACAAACACTCACATGCTATCCTAGAGGCAATTTGAAGCGTCCAATTGACCTAACATCATGTTTTTGAACGGTGGAAAGTACACCCACACAGAGAGAACATGCTAACCCCACACAGAAAGGTCCTGGTTCCCCCGGGGACTAGACCCAAGAACCCTCTTGCTGTGAGGCGATGGTGCCAACCACCACACAACCACCACCGAAAGTCCATATTAATACAGTTTTATTACAAAACTGTTTTGTTGATAAGAATCACATCGGTTTTCTTTAAAATGTGTTAATCAGATACATTTTTTATTAAAATTTAATTTGATTTAATTTAATCTTTTATTTTCACATTTCCACCTGTTTCCTTTTCCTTTAATTCTTGACTTTAAACAACCCCAAAAAATTACAACTGAATTTATCAAGACAATAGCTAATAGTATTTATTTTGAATGAGCTATTGTTTAACTACTATTGTAATTATCCCAGGTATTTCAGTTTACCATTTACCCTTTTAGCTTTTCAAGATTCAGTTGTGCTGTTATTGTTGCTCTCTTCCATGTAGACCACACCCCAGTGAGCCCCCAGTGAAGTTATTCCAGCTCCATTGAAGCGGCCACTCAGCAATCTGAGTTCAGCATCTGGGTGGACTGGGTAGAAGTTAAAGGACGTCTGTAACACAAAAAGCAAACCTTCCTTCATCAGCGTGTTTTGTTTTTTAGTCTTCTTTGCTTAAACAAGCACAGGTGACAGAATGTACAGACCTGAGTGGGTTGGCCAACGGTCAGAGAGCGTCCATGTGATGTCACAAAAATCAGCTGGTAGATGTAGGTTGTTTGGTATTTACCAGAGATCTGAAACATGCAAGTATACATGACGGAAAAAGTATGAGCAACCACAAAATCTTGTGATACAGTCATGAAAGATTTGACTGTGCCAAATGAATGCAGCTTAGTTTAGAGTTACATGAAGGTATGCAGCCTCTTTGTTAGGCAGATCACAAACAAGGACAAGATCTCAGAATTTTATGAAAACATGCTCAACAATTGTATGTACAGTACCTTTGTGAATTCTAGGTTTTCAGAATTTTTGTCTTAAAATTATCAAATAAAATCTGTAAAGAAATGCTTTCAGGCAGTTGATTGGCAGTGTTTCCTGTGCAAGAGACTTATAGGAACTTTAGGCTTTGCATGTTTTCAAACAGAGTGTCAAACTAAAGTCTCTTTGTCAGTGCAATCTCTCACCTGAATAATGACCTCTCCTTCAAATAGATCCAACTCATTTGAATGTCCAACTTTCCGACCAAGCACTGGAGTCCAGCTGTAATCGTAGCGTAGCTGAAGGCTGCAAATGGAAGAGGCCACGAGTGCATATAGAGGTCAGCATTGAATATTACATGAAAAAGAAGTCAGCTGAATGATTAGCTGATGCCCCAATAAGATGTAACTGTCTCTTCAATTGAAAAAGAGGATCATCAAAACAGGAGCAGCGATTCCTTTAGATAATGTTACCAGACTGAGGACTGGTGGCATTTCTGTGCAAGTCTGATAGAATGAATTTAATTACGGAGAAAAAAAAGAAAAACATTTATTTTTCATAAATTTGGACCTCAACAGTTTTTGAAGACACACTGATATGAAACTAGAGACTGACCCTGTGATGTAAGAGCCGGATGTCTCCCAAACCCTGATGGCTGTAATCCTTCCTTCTCCCCCGGAGGAGAAAGAAGTGCCACTGCCGCCTCCCACAGCAGAAGAGTAAGAGTAGTGCACCAGCCCGGCTGGAGAGGTCCAAAAGTTTATTCAGTAAGCAATCTTCAATGTGAAAATATAACATTGATGTGTGAAATAGATGAGCTGCTTCCTTACGTTTAGCCAGGCAGGTTGCGCAGAGTGCAGCCAGGAAAAAGAAGGAAAGCATCCTGAGATGTGAAAGCCTTCACTTACAGATCTGGAAGCAGAAGTTCCACAGAGATTACAAATCACAGACAACAATTCCCACTTTTAAAACTTTTGCCGAAGATGATAGAAACAAAGTTGAAATTATTCCTGTATTGACAATTAGATCATGAGTTGCTAATGATCTGATCTTAGATCTCTTGAGATGTTCAAACTCACCTGCAGATGTGATCTCCTGAGACAAGACTGAGTTCTGAGAACGGGATGAGCCTGCACTGCGACATGGGATGAACACATTTATATGTCTACACCTCATACAGACAAAGAAAGGCACACCCATATTCTAGACAAAGGAAAAACATTCAGAAATGTTATTTGTAGCATGACCAGGAAGAGAATTCCAAGTTATAGGATGACGATTAAAACGACTGTTTTCATTTCTTACATTACACTTCCAAGAAGTCCATAAACGTTAATCCCATAAGGCTTTCTGGCTTAAATGAGTTTCTTAGATAATAATGAATTATATTCATGTTGTGAAAGCTGTGAACAGCTTCAGTTTCAGTTGCTAAAACAAAGATAGAAGATAGAAAGAAAAAATAGATGCTGGATAGAAAAGAAAAGATGAGCCAATAAACATTTTTGAAAGCACCCTCTTTTTTTACCTCCTGTGAAAGTCACCGTCACCAGCAGACATAGATTCATTCGTGTTTCCTTTTTTCTTAGTAACCGTCACACACACCTTCACAGATGCTTCCATTAAAACTGTTGCTGTTAACAGGTCACTCATTCTCCATTTCAACATTTGATCCAGCAGTCAGTCTGAATAAAGCCATTTTTTCTTTTCTTACTACTTCAGCACATATATCCCTTTTGAAAAATCAAAGATTTGATAGCTTTCCATTCAATATTCTTTCCATCATCCTGGCAGATTCTTTCCAACCCTCCTTAAATCCACCGAAATTCTGAAGAATAAAAAAAAATATATATATATGTGGTCTTGGTAGGGGGGATATATGTGTCCAGTAGACCATGTAGTCAAAGCTGAGTTTCGGACAAAATGAACAAACAGAGCAAACCTTTGCATACTTATCATAAACCCAGCTGTAACACATCAGCCAAGCATTGACGGGAATCCAGTGAAGAATTACATCTATTCAAATCTTTACCCTTTTACTCTAAAAAGGTGCTGCAAAAAAGTGCTACAGAATATGGGCTCATCATTGCAGTGATGACAGTTGCTCATAGTTGCATAATGAAGATCAAAAAGAAAGTTTTCACAAGTATATGAAACAGATCTGATCACACACTTTCACCTGAACATTTCTCCCCATCTCAGAAATTGAAACACAGACCATTGTGATTCCTGTTTTTGTCCACCAATTCATGCTATTTGTTGTATGAACTGAATTCACAATGATCCTTTTTAGAAACTGCCTCACATTTTATGAACCTTTACATATCAAACTAAAGACTTGAGAGGCATGCTTATGAGCTTTTTTCAGCTTGATATGGGAATGGTTAGATTGTCATCATATTTTAATTTTACATCCTCCTCAGTGTCAGCTAGAAGGAATGGAGTTGTACATTCATTGTTGAAATTAATCATGTTCTGTGTGAACCAGGAAACAACATCAGAAAAGTTCAACCACAATGTTAAAAGTGGTTCTACTGGAACAACCGAAATGGTAACATGTGATATGTTTTGCTCAGTGGCATTCATAGGGAACAATATTTAAAAACTTCCTGCTTCCAATTAGTTTCAGTCTTAGATTCGAGTGATACAGGAATTACAGAGCACACCAACATCATGAGCTTTAAATGCTGTAGTAACACAGGAGTTCAAAAATAGGTCAGAATAAACTTAATAGAAGAATTGTCATGAATAAATTAGAATGGTGATCGTTAGCATTGCTGCCTCATGGCAAGAGTATGCCCGGTTTGGGACTTGGGGCATTTGTTTGGAGTTTGTATGTTCTCTCTGGCATCCTCTCACAGTCAAAATACATGCACATTAGGCTCATTGGAAGGTATAAACTGGAGTTAATAATGAATGTAATTGCTTTTCCTTTTTCAAAGTGTGTCCCTGTGATGGACTGGACACATGTCCAGGGTGTACCCTGCCTCTTGATCCATGACGCAATCAGGGTTTCATTAGATTTTAACGTTCTTTTTAAATACTTTGTGGTTGATTTTTTGTACATTTCTTTGTGCTAAGGGAAAGGGTTTGTTCTGAATGGTTGCTTCCACTGATTGTTTGTTGCGTGTTGGGAATTTGGTTATTGCTCATGCAATAGGAATGATGCCCTTTTCTACTGCATTAGGAATCCATTGTGTGTTTCAGCTGCGGTGTTTTTACTGCAGTGCTGCTGCTTTGTATCTGGTGACGGCTATAGTGGAGGCTGTCACCATTAACCCGGCAGCTAGAGGGCGACACAACTGTAACTGTTGGGCCACATCAACAGGAAGGACCCTGCTGATCTGCTCTAGTAGATTCACAAAAACGGTATTGGTACTAATTTGCTCAGAACACCAATACATTTAGAAGAATCATAACAGTCATGTTCACCTGACAATTTGTCTTAACCACAAAGAATATCGTCAGGTCAGTTTGGTAAAAGTCACCTCATAAAATGTGTGTTCTTGTAGTCTGAAAAGAAAACTGAACTTTGTATTACCACCAAAACCTAGATTGCCACTTATAGATTTCTTTTTAAATAGCAGTTATAGCACTGTCTGTGACTGAGAAGCTTAAGAAAGCACAAGGCAAATCACAGGTCACAGCATTACAAATTCTGACATATATTGTTAGATGTTTTCATAGTTTCTGTAAAATACTCATGTAATTTACTATCTTTAAAATGGCCCTCACAGAACTTCAAGGAACTCAGCAGAAATTTACAGAGAACACATCAGCTTTGTGGTAGTGTTAAGTATGACTTTTCAAAAACCCTTTTACTTAGAAGACCGTCGAGAGTATACCCTGCCTCTTCCCCATTGACCACTGAGATAGGCTGCTGTCCCCTTACGGAGTCAGCGGTTCAGAAAATGGATGGATGGATGGATGGACTTTTACTTTACTTTTACGATGATCTGCAGCCCTGGCTGGTAAAATGTAACATGACTGTTTTTCTCTCCCATTTTTTCCTTCTCTTGTTTTTTGATGTATTTTTCTGATGTATTTTCTTCTCTCAGTTTTTTGCGTGTCTGACCACAGTGTGCTATGTGGGGAGCAGTTACTTGAGCTACTGTGTCTGGAAAACCAAAGAAGAGGAGCAGTAGCGTCTTTGGCTCTGGAGCTGTTACGTCAGCATTCAGGCCTCCGTGTGCGTCATCAGGAGATAAAAGGGCAACCAACACTGTCCATGCTGTTACTTAAGAGTGATTAAGCTGAGTCTGCTGATAATTATAATCAATTAAAAAAAAACAACGGGATGTGAGCAAGTACTTATTTTCAACAAAAAAGAGGATTTTCCCGATGTGTACTCCTTCATACCCACTGTTGAGGAAAAAAGAGTTTCAAGAAATCTGTCAACTTGAAAAAAGAATTTTTCCTTTAGATCATATTCATTCAGCACAACCTGAACCCTCTCACACCCTCCCCTGTTATGTTTTCAGTTAATCTTCAGGACTAGTTCTCTGGGCTTTTTTATGTTGTGCTCCCTATTGTTCCACTCTCTTTCCAGATGATCCTACACTGCTTTAGTAGAAGCAGGTAAGGATTAATCATAATGATAAATCACTCATTCCTCATTGCTACTGATATTCTATCGAGTTTCTTGGTCAGTTTGATAGCCTTTCCACTAAAGGCTGGCCTCTCTATGAGAACATCTTTGATGGGCATTCAGTGAGCACTAAATTGATCTACTGAGGTCCAATAGCATCTCAGGTCCTGTGTTACATTTGCTGACTTTCACTCTCCCAAGTTATTAACATCTGTAGGAGACATCATGAAGATGACTTTCTACTGTATATCTGCAGTAGATAGGATTTTAGGACTAATTTCAAAGAAACATAGTACACTATGAATATCAATCCATTCATTTTCTACACCTCTTATTTGCAACGGGACAGGAGCACCCTGGACTGGAGCCTATTGCAGCTGGTGGACTCTGGACAGGTCACCAGTCCATCGCAGGGCCATACACAGACAAACAACTACAAACACTCGCATGCTATCCTAGAGGCAATTTGAAGCGTCCATTTGACCTAACATCATGTTTTTGAATGGTGGAAATAAACCGGGGTACCTTGTTCATCAAATACATTTTTTATTAAAATTACATTGACTGCGTAGAAGTTGAAGGAGTTCTGTAACACAAAAGCAAACCTTCCTGCAGTGCAGGATGAGCCCACACTGTGACATGGCAATGATTACATTTATACGTCTACACCTACAGAAAGTAACAAAGACTTACCAACATTCTAGAGCCAGAGAAAGAAAGGTTATTCTTATCTCAGAGATGCATTTCATAATATGACCAGGAAGAGAAAACAATGTTAGGATTATGATTACTCTAAAACAACGAAAGAATAGACGTAGGACCAAAAGAAAAAAAAAAAATGTATACATATATATGTAGAGAGAGAGAGAGAGAAAGAGAGAGAGAGAGATATTCACATTATTATAGTACAGTCATGAATTTAGGCCTAAAGCAGTGAAGTTCCATATCTCCTTATGAGGTACAATTTATTTAAAACAAAATGAACGTGCAGAGCAAACTTGTACTCATGGATTGTGAAGAAGGGCTTTGACTTGAAGACACTTAAGCATTCCAGTGAGGGATTTCTCTGTATCTCTAATGCTGAAACACACAGACCATTCCAATTCCTGGCAGTTTTTAATCCACCAATTCATTTTATTTCCTGTATGAACTGAATTCAAAATGACCCTCTTCAGAAACTGCCTCACATTTTATTAACCTACTCAGATTTTCCCATATCAAACTGAAGACCTGAGTAGTGTGCTTATGAGCTATTTTCAGCTTGATATGGGAATGGTTAACATATCATCACATTTTAATTTGACATCCTCCTCATTGTCAGCTAGAAAGAAGGGAGTTTTATATTCCTTGTTGAAATGAGTCATGTTCTAATTGAACCAGGAAACAACATGAGAAAACTTACACCATTCTGTTAAAACTGGCTCTACTGGAACAACCAAAACAAAGAAAGATCTTTTGTTTTCTACAGAGGCGTTCATAGGGAACAATTTTTAAAAACTTCCTACATTTCAATTTGTCTCAGAGTCTTAGATTAGAAT